CTGACTCCCCATCCTGACAGGGATTCTCAATTATTACTAACCACTCTTAGCAATCGGATATTTGTATCAATCTAGGTTAGAGTTCTGAAACATCCGTCAAAATAGCAGCAAAGCGACGATGGTCTAGCTGAAAAAACGGTAAGTTTTCAAACCTTTGTGAGCGGACTCGAGAGCCTGTCTCATCACGTGCACATTACCGACACACTCGAAGGTAAAGTCAGGACCCCCGTTATACTCGTCCTGCATGTGCGCCACAAACGACTTGCCAGCTGAGTGTTTCCTTTGTTTAAAACTTATCAACTACAAATGATGTGCAAAAAAAACTCATCATTTCTTATCACAGTGCTGGCAAGCATGACTGTTGCCCTTATTATATCTCCCATACTAGTATACCCCTTTACTGTTTTTCAGGCATTATGGCTCATGTTGAAAGTCGTTCAGCAGGTTTATTTTTAGTTCAAAACATTCTAATTTAATGTCAAAGACGACAGGAATAAGAAATAGTTATGTGGAGGTTTTTAAGAAATTTGCGCAAAATACTCGCCAGCACTGTTATACGAAATTCGGTAAAGAACCCAAAATCGCGATATTCAGGTGCCTTAAAAACCATGTTAAAATTGAGTTAGAGATCTGAAATTTTGCAGGGCGTCTAGACGTTGACCAAATCGACTGTAAAAAAGTTTCAAGTTTCAGGAGTTTCGGGAAGTGGGTTTTCTGGAACCCCTATTTTACAACAGATTGTCGTGAAGTATATTATATATATGTTTAGAAAGACATTAGACGCTTTGGTAGTCAATTGTAGCCTACATTCAAGTGTCCATAGGTTCAGAAGCTTTAAAGATACAGCCATTTCGGACCACAGTTCTTGAATATAATCGTTTAGACTTTAGTTTACATAATATGAAAAAAAATTTAACGTCATCATCACCACTTGACGTCATCAAATTAACCATTTTTTAAACTTGATTTTTGACAAGGTATTAATAACTTTTAAAATCGATTTTACACCATTAATGTCCATTAAGGAGTAATCTTATTCAAAATTTGAGGACATGCTAAAGTTAGATAATTGTTCAAGCATTCTGATAATGCACCGCAAAGTTTTCTTTGTTGGCTCCTTTATAAAGATACTCGCTATTGAAGTTAGTGCTTTTTTGAAGAATTATTTTATAAAAACACCCATTTTGTGATTCAGTATTCTCTGGCGTTGGGCCATCCCTTGGGTTGTGGAGCTCAGTTATGCTTCCTATAGGTCTATATTGTGCATAAGGCTAGTTTAAAAGTTGAAAATCAAAAAGTTGCACACTTGGAGACACGCCCAAATTGATGGAAAAATGCTAAAAAGCTAAAATCACTAAAAAATTGCTATTGCAATTCAAAGTTTGGACATGCGAAAGGTGAGAATTTTGCTCATTCGTCATTTCGATTTGATTCTGCTTTCCCACGACAGTTAAATGACATTATATGTGAATTTAATGCCAAGATATGCTTATCTAAACACAAGGAAATGTTTTCAAAGCTAAAATTTCTAAATTGTTGAAATTACCTTCTTATTAATGAAGTTATCAGTTTAACATTTCGACTTTGTCAAGGACCCTGAAATTAATCAAAAAGAGATAATATTTGACCAAAACCCAGAATTGGTAGAGGACCGCTGCAAGTGTCTCTCTTTTCCAAACAAAGGTAAATGATATCAATTTGAATGGGAAAAGCGAGCAACCGATTTCATTCTCGGTATCATTTTGCATTTACGGACGGTCATTCAAATTAATATCACTTACTTTTGTTTGGGAAAGAGAGACACTGGCAGCGGTCCTCTCTACCCAATTCTGGGTTTTGGTCAAATTTTACAACAAGATCAGGTTGAAGGTAGCACTTTACTTCAAGTAAAAATGTGTTAACATAGTTCAAAAGAATGTGCAACAAGCTTTTCTCACCTGGTAGATCTTTAGGATTGATGAACTCGGTCGCTCCAAACTCCCTTGCAGCTTTCTCCTTCTCTGGGTTCAGATCAATAGCAATGAGTTTAGTTGCCCCAGCAGCTTTACATCCCATCAGCACTGCTAACCCAACAGCTCCCATTCCCCAAACAGCACAGGTACTTCCTAGTATCAGACAAACATCAGATTGCAGGTTGGAAATGAAATGTATGAGAGTCAACTTGTTTTGCAAGTGCATTAGAACGATATGTAAATCGTAACTTGTAAATACATTTAATGGAACCCCAATAAAACTTAGTATGTACTGAAATAATGAGGGGGCTTTTATCGGATTCCAATATAGAACAAAAATATGGCTGAAATGAGAAGTTTGCAAAATGTCTCACCAGGTTGAACCTTTGCTGTGTTGAGTGCAGCACCGTAACCAGTTGAAACTCCACATCCCAGAAGACAGATAGCTTCTGTACTAGCTGCTGGGTTAACCTTAGCACAACTTATCTCTGCTACAACGCAGTACTCAGCAAATGTGCTAGTACCCATGAAGTGGAACAGCTCTTTTCCTTTGCACCTCAATCTAGAGGTCCCATCAGGCATGAGACCTTTACCTGAATAAGAGGGATGAGAAATGTATATGTACCGAAAAAATCAAAGATAATTGTGGTCCACTTCGAGAGAAAGATGAGTTTGTGGTCTGTGTGGAGCATTCTAGCGGTCTGCACGTACATGCAAAAGCGATCAAAACAAAATTGAATCACATAGAAATAAAAATGCAGACATTACCCTGAGTATTTCGGATCTTCGAGCAGACGTTAGTGTCCTTCCTCACGCAGTACTCACACTCGTAACACTGGGGGATGTAACAAGGGATGACTTTGTCACCAGGCGCAACAGAGGTAACACCCTCACCCACACTTTCAACGATTCCTGCTCCCTCGTGTCCCAGCACAACTGGAAAGAGACCCTCTGGATCGGATCCACCCAGGGTGTATGCATCAGTGTGACAGACACCTGTTCAGAAAGGGGCCAGCAATTAGGTGATGTAATTGAAAACCTATTTTATCAATAAAAGGAGAAGGAAATAGCAGAGTTAATCGAAACCAGATTAAGTCAGAGCCTAGATAAATAAGGGGGTGTGAGAGTCTCATCAGAGAAGAAAAGCTTCGTTAGCAAAAGGATTTCTCCCATATCACACAATGGCTTTTCTGTTCAGACTTTTCCAAATCAATCCACAAACTCACCCGTGAACTCTATCTTGATCCTCACTTCTCCAGCTTTTGGTGGATCTACTTCGATCTCTTCCATCGCCAGGGGTTCTTTGGCAGCCCAGGCTACAGCAGCCCTGCATTTTATGACTTGACCTGCAGTGGACATACTAATCTGAAGAGTGAGCGATAAGTAAAATAAATGGATAAGTTAAACTTTTTCAGGGGAATGCACAATACACATCGCCAACCAGCTATAATTGTACAGTATAAAGTATGGAAAGTATGGAAACATAATTAAATGAAGGATTTCATTGTAAATACAATAAATTAAATCAAGTGATGCAATTGGCAGAGCACAATCGTAAATTCAGTTATAATTCAAGTTAAGAACAATGTGGTACTCCTGTTTCCTCCTAATTTCCTGATGGATTGCGTGGAAATCATTAACACTTCATCACAGCAGATCACATATAATTATAGTGGCTTAACCTCTGAGAACATTTGAAACATATTGAAACATTTAACAATAATTAAGGAGAAAAATGTATCCCACCGAGTTGAGTAGTATCTCATCAAACTATATTTTGAGAATGTATTTCGTTACAAATCTTCAGCTCTCAATTTTAATTATTAGCTCATGATTTTTATTATGTTACATGATGAAATTCAGGTACCAATCTGTCATTCTGTTAATTAAGGCGTTTTAATTGTTTCAAGCACAATTAAATGTTTTGACACAAAGAATCACTAAACAATTGTGTCCATAACCCTGCTACGTAACATTTTAGTGGCTGAATTACCTATTTAAAACTTAAAACACGTCTGATCCAAATTTATCACCAGAAGACCTAACTTTATTTTTTTTAAATAATAATTTGTATCAAACAGTATACACATAATGTCACAATGACCCTATATAAAAATAACCCTTCAAAAATTCAATATTTTGAAAATCACCCTTGGCCTTGCGGCTCCAAGTTCAAATCTAAACTGTCTATATTGACAAAGTTCTTTCTCGCCCCTCTGTCTCCCCGGAGAGAAATTACTGTCGTTCTTAAGATTTCGAAACGAAGGCGCTTCCTAATGTAGCCCAATGTATCCCACAGCATCTGAGTAACTCTGCCCTGTGTGGTATTCCATCTTACTAGCCAGCTTCTTTACTAGTCATTCAGCTTCACCACCCATTCCACCAGACGTTGATAAAACTAACGGCGTTAAGCTTCCTTTCTCTATACTACTTCCAGGACCCTTGTTGTAAACAGCCTCGGCCTGTGGCTGTGCCTCCCTGCGCCTCGTCCTACGCTTGCAGTGCTTACACGCCAATCCTATGATGCTGTGAATAAAGAGGAGAATTATGACTTTGCTATTATTAAAAGATTGATTGAAATAAATTTTCGTGCACATACAGAATGAATGGTTAATAATTTAATATATATGTAGACCAAGCTCTGTGCACGGGATGCTTCCTGGAAGAATCCAGTTCTTTTAGCGGGGCACCCTACCTAAAGCCAAATTGAGATATAATAATCATATTCCTAGAGAAATAATCAGAAATCGAATACCAATCAAATAATATGATATATATGAGTAGTAACCATATTTACTATGCAAAATGCCCCAACCACATAGTGTAAATTTATATAGAATTCAAATTCCATATCATCATTAAACCTCAATACCTAGTCAATATAATAGCCCAAGCAAAATTAAATAACTTCTTATATACCTTACTGTCATACTACAAATTAATTAAACATTTGAAATCTGTTGACCAGAGAATAAATTTCTAAGCCTAATGCGAGTGAAATAATTTAGATGCAATAATGAATGCCTAATGTGAGTATCATTTGTCAACGTCCTTGTAAAAAAGTCTGTACAAGAGATATGAGTAACTAATATAGAAGAAAAGAAAAAACAGGAAGTTGTCGTCTGTTGTAAAATAAATAAAATATCTAGAATATAAATTAGAATATAAAATAACATTCAGTCAATGTGTCGTCAATAAACTGTACAATTATCAAATGTTAAAACTGGGAAGAAAAATCAACAATAAACTATTACAGGTTAGATGTTTACCTGAGTTCTATATCTTTCGATAGCAACTCCATCTATCAATCTGATTAGCAAGTCATTCTGTATTCCACCAGTACTTGTGATCCTGGTTGCAGCTTTCAACATGTTTTATGGGCCCAACACTCAGCTTTCACAGTTTATGACTTCTGGCCTCCTTGCGATGTCGTAGCAGGTAGACCATTTCTTGTTGTCGCGGGCTAACCAGATTGTATAGGAACATCGAAGAGCGACCAAAGCAGCCTCATTCAGGGCTTTATTCTTCGTCCTCTTCGCCAATCCAAAGTAGTTAAATAGAGCTGGTACAGTATGGTGCCAGAAGCCCCTACACCCAATCTCTACCGTAAAGAGCAGAGCTTTCCAACCGCACCCGTCGATGCCAGGAATCAGCTCTCTGTTGTAGCGTGCTTCTTTACGTGCTACTTGGTCACTGAAGTTACTCTCGTCACCACAAGTCAGTTCAATCAGAACTACTTCTCTCAAACTATCCGACCATACTACAATGTCGGGTCTCTCCGCTGTGTTGTAGATGTGCTGTGGGAACTGGGCAGGTAGTGTATCCTCGTCCCATATCAGCTTCCAGTCTTTCGCTCTCTCAAAGGGCCTCTCCTTCCTCAACTTTGGCTTTGGGTGTTCATACTTCCCATCCTTCGACTTGAACCGTATCCATTCTTTGTCGGAGGTCGTGGAACCTGAGGAATTGTACATCTTGAGTTGGTCAAGCAAGGCTCCGGCTATAACACGTAGGACGTTGTCATGTCTCCAGTTGTACCTTTTGGAGTTTCTTGCTACACTGCAGACGGCTAGGATATGCTTGATGTTGCACGTCTTCCATCCACAAAGTGCACAATTTCCTGTACTCGAGTAGTTCCACAATTTCATGTTTGCAGGGGTATTAGCCACGTCGTGTGTCGAGTTTAGGTGGAATTTAAGGAGAGCCGGGCTTATAGGCTTCTACAACTTTGGTGTCATCACTGTTCTTCAGGGCGTGTCCCTTTGATACCTGAAGAGACTTGTATAAGTCACTCAGCTTCTTCAAGTTTAGCCCGAAGTAATCCTTGCTCCTGTACAGGACTGTCACAGTAATTGATCTAGTAACACCCAACCACTTCTTCAAGAATCTGGTGCAGATAGCATCCAGTTCGTACACAAAACTTACAGGAAGGTTGTAAATCATCAGATCCCAGGACATCTTGCTAGTCAGCATGTTATTGTAGATCCAACACTTCATGACACCGTTGAGACCACACTCATCCACTGTCTGAAACAGAGTTTTTAGTTTGTCTTCAATCCGTTGTTTAGTGTCATTTAACCCTAGATCGACATAGATCCAGTGGCCCAGGAACTTAATCGGGTTGTTTCCTACATAGCTGATTATCTGGCCGTCAATCAATATCTCTGGGTCATAAGCCTGGTACGTACCATCTATCACCTTCATTCCCAGGGAGACACACTTGCTAGGCTTGGCCTTCATTTTCCTACTCCAATCCAAAAACTGCTCCATCAACTCTATCTGCTTCTTTACCTTCTCTAGTCTGGAGGACATAAGTGTTAGGTCATCTGCAAAAGCCTGATTCGATGTAGGTTGCGAGCTAAAGGAGGGCTTATAACCCAGTTCTTTTTGATCTTGTAGAAGATCTAACAGTAAGTTGAATACAATCAGGAACAACACTACTGAAAGAGGGTCTCCTTGAAAGAGGCCTAACATGTAGTAGAACCAATTTGACTTCCAGTCTTTGGTTACCACCCTTACAATCAGTTCATCATAGTACTTAAACATGTAATCTATGAGCCATTCAGGGAATTTGTAATGCCGGAGGGCATAGAGGATCAAGTTGTGTGGGACCCTGCCATATGCATTCATTAAATCCACCCAGACAACGAATATCTGACGTCTAGTAGATTTGGCGTCTTTTAGTTCTTCCATAAGCACTTGGGTGTGTTCAAGACAACCAGGAGTCTTCTACAGTCACCAAAAAAAATACTAAGTATGATAAGTTAATAAATTAAATGTGGTCTACAAAACTACCACTAAGTATAATAGGTCAATAAATTAAAAGTGGTTTATAAAACTACCACTGTGGGAACCCCTTCTCCAGTTAAAACATGTCAGTCATGTGCAAAATCAATCAGAATGGTAAGGTGGTAAAAAAGGGAATATCTTTTCGATACATCAATTATATATGCCTCATATCAGATTTAAAAGAATTAGAAGTTACTTAGTTATCAGCGACTATGATTGCAGTGTAAAATTTGTCATATGAATTGTCGACGGTATAATTAGGGTCTGTTGTTATAGATGATAGTAGCTGTTTCTTATACGAATCACTAAAGCTTTTAACATCGGGCAGATTTCGTAGATCTGTTGGAACATTATTCCAACATTTTGCCCCCAAGTATTGAAAGTTTTTATGTGATGTTGATCTATTGACATAAAGGTTGCAGCTTTCGCCGCTCCTACTACCTCCTGATGTGTAACTAAATTTGTTCATAAAGTTTGTAGGACAATTGTCATGGATGATTCTAAACATATAATTTGACAGATGAAGTTGTCGTCTAAGATGGAGTGGTAACCATTTCATGTCTCTATAAACATTAAGGCTGCTCTCTGTTTTTGGAACGTTGAGAGCTATTTTGGCTACCTTTTTGTACAGAGTGTCAAGTTCAGCAAGTTTTGTCTTGCCAGCTCTACAATAGATTGTGTCTAAATAATCGAATTGTGGCAACATGAGTGCATTGGCAAACATTTTCCTATATTTAATGGGCCCACCGCTAGAAAGTCGAGAACCCAGGAACCAGGTTCTTAGCAAAATCTTGCCTAAAATAATGTTTGAATCTTCATTTTAACGTTTTTTGCTCAATTTGCCACCTTTCACCTGCACTATTAAGATAAATGCCAGAAATCACTTCACATGTGGTAAAAAATAATTTGGAAAAAAATGTAATTTGGAATTTTTTTAGTGGAAAACGCGACAGACATATCGATATTAAGTATAAACTTTGGCGCAAAACGCGCAACAGGTTCCTGATGCGCGTCAAAGCCGCGCACAGTTACCTGTATTCTAATTGCCTTCGTTCTTCAGCAAACGGGTTCCTGTGCTGAAGAACGTCTAAAAATAGCATCCACGTGGGTTGTGTGCTCGAAGCTGCTCTTCTCGGTTAAAATGCAACGTTTTCGGTATCAATTTCTATTTTAACTGTCTTTTAACAGGAAGTGGCATTGATAGCGGATGTGTAACCTGTTAATCTGATGGATATCGATCACTGCGGTAGTGGGATGGATCAAACATGAAGAGAAATCAAAAATTGGCCGCTGAATTGATTAGCTATTATATGAATTCTCCTATTTCATGTTAGTTATATCAAATAAGCGTTTAATAATATCTTCTAATTTTGACTTTCTGACGGACGGGTAATTGAATCTCGATTGGCCGATTGTTCATCGATAATTAACCCAAAACAAATTCCAGGAACTAACGATTGATATTACGAGTGAACCCTCGCCCAGGCAAGCTTCCCCTCCAATTACACTTCCTTGCCTAGCTACCTCTCCAACCCAAAGAGATGATAAAAACGCATATCTCGGTGGTAATCAAATTGTTAGGAGATGGTGTGTTTTGTCAGATCCATTAATAGACTGAAACATTTCGCCAGCTGTCAACACAGAAAATAACCCCCAAATAGTTTAGGGGAAATAATAAGACGCCTTTAGTTGGAGTTTGCGTTAAATCGGGGTTTTGATTGTTCTGTTAATTGTTATTAAGCAGCGAAATCTATGTTAAAGTTTGATCTTAATTTAGTGGTTGTTTTCATTTAGAACTTTTAAATATTTCAAAACTGTAGGAGTATCATATCACATACAATGTTCTCCTTTAACGTGACAACAAATCTGATATTACCGTATTACTAAGGATTATTAGGCAGTTAAAGAACTGTAACTTTACGAAACTTTTAGATGTTAAATTCAGCCTGTTATTTACATTTAAACAAGAGTGATACATTTTCAGATATAATTGTCAGTATTTCTGAAACTGATCAACTTCAAAAGCATACGTGTTTTAAGACAAGTTACACGTGTTCATTATACGTCAACGACAATATCTTTGCATATTCTTCAGTTTTAATACTTTCAACACTACCAATTATAACAAATAATATGATATCATGCATATGATGTTGTAACATTGAACCGTTGAATAGTTTCTTACCTGATATAAGCCTTTTCCTTGTCGCATCAAACGGGATCAATAGAAATTTACCTAAGAAAGAATTTCAACCATTCTACTCGTAAATAATATTCCAATCCGGATTTTACATATAATCCATCCCTATATGGACCCTCAAACTTGAGTACTGAGTATTAGGTTTAGTAAGTTTTGTTTTCGTAATTAGTTTTATTCAGTATGATACAGAAGGAATGTATTTAATGTAGTTATTGACTATTGAGGAGTCCTTACTCTCCTCACGTCCGTAAATGGAGTTTGCTTTCTACCATACATGTTTTCAACCATCAATAATATGTTGACGTTAGCTTCGTACACTGTATTTTCTAAAGGTCAATCAATGTTTAGGACAGAAAATAAAAGAATAGTGATGAAATTTACTTGTGAGTGTGGTTTTGCTGGAAGAAAGAAGGATGGAGTAAAGAAGAACGATAAGACGAGTCATGAAAAGAGTAGGCATGGGTAAGTAATAGGGGAACTAATTGGCGACACAATTGTCAATAATCATCAAACAATTAACTAACATATTACATAAACATTGGCCGAACATATCCAATGTTAAGCACTAAAGATTCCATATAGCAATTAGACGTTGTTCAGTGTTCAGTGTTCACATATTATGTATTCCTTTTTGGTCCATATTTAACCCGCCTTCATCCCCTGTAATCAGTTGTACACATTATTATAGGTATTGCGTTCAAATTAAACAATTAGCGTAATCCCAAAGAAACGCCCTCCCTCCCCCTCAGTGATTACGTAATATTATAATTGTACGACCCCAAAGATACAAAAGTATTTAAAAAGTACATCCTATCCAGACTTTCGAAACACCGTGTATAATATATAGTACAAACATACTGTATAGTGTATACTGTATATCACCATCCGTTCTCTGATTGAAGAACACTCTAGAGTTTCAAAGTTACCACGGTTACAGCAGAATCGAAACATTTTACCGTTCTGACATTTGATAAAAAGTCACATCACATGATTATTTCTCATTCCAGGGGTAAATCTATGAGTTGGACACCCTTTGGAGTAGGAACGAGCCAGAGACTGACGGACCATTTTAATTTGATTGCTCGCCCCATGGTAAGTACTTTTGTTTTGCTTGACTTTTATGAACTTTAACTGAAAGGAACAAATTGTTGATACGACAAAAAAACTTAAGAATTACAACTTATCGTTTTATCCCGTCCTTATTTAGTCGTATAATTTTGTTTAACAGACCTGTTGTTAGTGGAAATGACTAACTTTCAACACAATCTCCGTGCTGCTTTTAAATGAGAAATTCTTCAGATTATTTCTGTGGGAAGCAGGTCAAGCTCATCTACAGCAAAAGCCCCAACGGTCCCAACACCATCTTTATCAAGTCCAGCGCTATCTGATCCAGTAGCCCCACAACCAGCTTCATCGGGACACGCACATCCAGTGGTCCTTCAACCAACTCCAGGTAGCCCCCAATCGCCTACAGCCGGTCCTTCGGGGAACCAAAGCATGGATTCGCAGTTTTCGTTGTTACAGCCAGTGAGCACTTCCCAAGTCGCTAGCTCAACAGTCTCCGACAACCCTGCTAATAACACACCAATCAGACTCGTGAACCAGATTGTAAGTATATTATTTATTTAATATTTACTTCTTACCGGAATTTACCGTGATAAAAACTTCTAAACTTGTGAATTTAACTGCAAAGAAGACCTCTAACCTGCTAACCGTTATCAAGCACAAATAATTTTTTGTTTTAACTCAGAGATAATATAAAAGTGACACAATGTCGAAATAGTGGTAAGAAAAAGCATCCAGCAATTCTAACGTAAAAACTGTTTTTAGCTTTAGCTTTGCAACCAGCATCCATGACCAGCATCCAGTTTATTCTTTGTGATTAGGATTTAAGCTGTTTGATACTGATGTAAACGCATTCGATATTAATCAAAATGCCATGCTGAATCGCTGATTGATGAAAATGTTACAATCATACTTCCACGATAATTAAAATAAATCTGGAAAAGGGAAAATCGTTGCAACTGTAAGTCACAAATCAAATAAGTAATTATTCCTATGATTGAACTTTGCTGAATGATTTCACTGTCAGTTGTTGTTCAACTGGTACACTTGTACTTAACTGCACGCTGTTTAGTGTTTAACTGTCAATCTTTTCTGTATCTGCTGTATTGTCTTGATTGAATATTCTTGTTTGCTTTTGAAATGTAAATCGCTCATAGAAACAAAAATGTATATGATTTTATAACAGGTTTTTACAGTACGGATTTTAATTTTTAAATATTTATACTGTACATAATTTACGTTATTTCTGTTTTCATGGTTTTGATAGCTTTAAATTGAACTTACCCGCAAGCTACATCTTTACCCTGACGAGGCGAGAGATAATATAATGTTAGCGAATAAGCTTTTAGCTTATAAAAGTTTATGATAATGCTAGCGTTGGCTCATCTGTATTCATCCATGCTCTAGTTCACTGAAATGCCGACAAATTATAAAATTAAAGCACTTCTTGTGGTGATAAATAGAAATCAGCTAAATTGATCGTTTCTGAGAATGATGGTGTTTTATTAATGTAAATTCCTGCAAAGCAACTTTACAATATCTTTCAGCGCCAGAAGAGTGGGAAAAGGAAAATGCTGAGACCTCCAAAGTCAGTAGACGACCTTGTGGTAGCTATGATCACACTTGCTGAGGGAATTGCGGAGGGCCAGTCCTCCTCGGCTCAAAGGATTGAACTAAAATCACTATCCCACAAGCTACAGTCGCAGATAAAAGTAAGTCACAGGTTTAAAGATTAGGAGGACGGGATTGATGACAACTGCGCGCGGACCATTCCTGTCATGTCAACGTAGATGATTAATTTTCTTTTTTACCATAATATTAAGTTTGCGCCTTCCATAAGTTGTTGAACTGGGGGTTCTAGGGGGTCTTTAATTATTGTCTAGGGGTCGTTCTCACATTACGTAATCAATTTTTGGACAAATCCCTCCCTATGTAATCAGTTTTACACATAGCTTAAGCTATTGTGTCAAAATTACACTAGCGTAATCATTTGGAAACTCCCCTCGGCTGATTTCGTAATATGTGAACGACCCCTAGAGGCTTAGACAATAATCATAGGGAAATGCCGTCCAAGTTTACATGAAAATAGTGTTAAAGCCGGCTTCTTTCTTTTTACTCGGAACATCTCTTCTGGATCAAACATCATGTACTGTGTAGCGTGTTCTTGGTTAAGTTGATTTTTCACTAGGCAAACAATTTCAATCATACAAATTACAACTGTTATGACATTTCTGTGTTGAAAATGACAAAATTTAAAATCAGGACGAGAGATCTGCAATGGATGGTATCCTAAAAGAAGCAATCCTACTAAATTCGGGGCCAGCACGACCTCAAGTAGGTTCCCAACCTCCTCCTATGAACCTCCAACCTCCTTCACTCGGTATCCAGCCTTCTGGTTCCCGACCTACTCCTTTTGTTGTCCAACAACCTCCTGTTGTTGTCCAACAACCTGCTGTTGTTGCCCAACAACCTCCTGTTGTTGTCCAACAACCTCCTGTTGTTGTCCAACAACCTCCTGTTGGTGCACAACAACCTGCTGTTGTTGTCCAACAACCTCCTGTTGTTGCACAACAACCTGCTGTTGGTGCAAAACAACCTCCTGTTGGTGCACAACAACCTGCTGTTGGTGCACAACAACCTGCTG